AGCAGGAATCACCCCATCCATCCAGGAGTACTATTTGATTGCCATGACCTGGCTGGGTATACCTGCATCTCTGTCCTTCATTTCCATACATGTAAGAGTCTGAGTTTTGAGAGCAGGTTTCTAATGTGATACTCAGAGCTCTGAACAGGGAGAAGTTTACATCTTTGTTACTTGAGCCTTGCATAAATCCCAGAGATCTCCAGCTACATTCCTTGTTTTGCTAACCAAATACAAAGGAACGGGGGCTGTTGGTAATGGAAGGGAATTAGGAAGCAGAGTTCTCATCCTGCAAATCAGGAAAGGCCTTTTGGCCCCCATCTCCATTCAAGTACTGGTGACATGTGGAGAACTTCTGAGTATTACTGGGATATGCTCATTGAATGTATCTACAGTTTGGTCTCTGCAATACACAGCGAAGATCACCAGGAATTTTCAATGCCAAAAGTCATATGAAAAACCTTCGGGAGGACAACCCTTTGGCTAGGCCCCATGGATTAAAAAAACAATCACAAACATGGAGAAACAACCTAACAACCCCCTTCATTCCCCAGTGGCTTTTTCCATGGAAACTTGGATACAGCTCCTGAAGCTAAGTCCCACTCCCAACCATCTGCCACAAAGAATCACTAAGAAACAAGGTTCATATAACCCACAGCCCAAGCTCACTACCAGTAATTTCTATAGTGATATTTTAGGGTGCCTAAAGTTGGGATGGACAACACTAGCACCTGTTCATCCTATATAGTATAATTCAGAAATACTTATCCACATTGAGCAGTTCTCCATCATGGACTGCCATGGCAGCACAACAGCCTGTCTCTGAAACAGGTGAGAAGAAACGTCACCCAGAGTGGGACTGGATGCTCATTTCCAAAATCTCATGAGACATTATAGACCTCGAATGTGAACTGTTCTCATCTTCCCTGTCAGCAATCAGCAGCACTGGAGAGTGAGGATGCGTACATTCAAAGCGGCTTGCAAAAAGATACTCAAAGGAACAGTTTTTTGTTTCACTTGATCTGTTACACAGATCCAAGATGACATTTCCTGTAAGTGTTAGTGTACTGCTGCAGAAGATTCTGCACTAGGTTTTCTTGTAGTTTGGGTCAAGATACTTCTCCTCTGCTTGGTCTCTGGCCAGCTGAATAGGCAAGAGGCTTGCTTTTGCTTCCTAGACTTCATTTCAATCTCCATGGATAATCCTCCTCCAATTCCTGCCAAACTGCTAGCAAAAATGTAGTCAGATATGACAATTTCCTGCTTAAGCATCGTCTAGTTTCCCACGAGGCCCATTCCCACCAATTGCTGTTTTATTCCCCTTCTATACCAAGAGAAGTAGCAGTCAGAAACAAAGAGCATCCTCTGCAGTCCAGATACTGCGGCGATCTGCGATACGAAGAAAAAAGTCTCAATGCTATGAAGACTTGCAAAATTACTTCTTTTTCCTCCCAACTTAAACAAACAGTATGTTTTTCAAATTCAGACCCCAGAGAGAAGGCTGTGCCATCTGACACTAGGCAGAGACAGAGTTTAAGCCAGCAAGACAGACAAAAGAATATTAGTTCTAGCAGTCTGGAGGATGCCAATAATTCATTGAAAAAAAGTTTTAGTTTTTGGTTCATCAGATGACGAATACCCTCTGAAGACTAAGCAACACAAGCAGAGACAATCACGTAGCTCCTCTGTTCTGCTCTTGAAAAGTCATCTTCACTGTGGAACTCGCTGCCTCAGGCTGATGAAAAGGCCAAGTTCAAGGTATTTCCAAAAATGAAAATACTGAGTTGCTGAGTGGTTACAAAAACCTCCCGCCTCAAAATCTGCAGCTAGACAGCAAGACTAGAGACAGCACTGCAGACAGACGATCCCATAACTGCTGCTAAGAAGTTTTTTAAACTTTCTTAGAAAGCATCTGAGATATGCCCAGCTGAAGCTAACATACGGGAGAAGTGAGGGCAGGAGAGCAGTAACATAGAGGGTAAGTCTCACTGAATGATCTCCCATCACTTGGTAAACTGAGTGCACTGTGCTACAGTTACAAAGAATGGCACATGGTGTGCTAAAGAATACAGATGATATAGGTGATACTTAAAAGATGGGCGACTCCACCTTGGTAGCAGGAAAAAGAACTTGTTCATTGCTGTGCTCAGTCACGATGGCTGTAGAGGAGCTCTCAGGGCAATGATGTAGCTAAAAAGACTGAGGTACTCTTTGGGTATGCAATCTTTTGGGTATGCACTTTCAAAGGGGATCAGGAAGACAATGTTAGCTCTTAGTTCCTTCACTAGACCCAGTGCTAATGCATGCCCTTCACAAAGGTGGTTAACAGACTTGAGAATATTCAGATGAGAAGGCAAGAGGATAAATAAAGGACAAGAACAGCATACCTTACAATGCAAACATCAAGTCAATCCTTTGGCTTACCTGGGAGTCACTATGAAGTGACTTGACAGCAAGCTATACAAAGGTCTAGAAAGGACAGAAATTTGGTAACTTAGTCCTCCTTCACCTAGGAGACAAAGTTATAAATAGGATCCAGTGACTGAAAGCTACAGCTGGATATTTTTAGTCTTAATTTAGTGAGGGTAATAATTCATCAAAATAATTACCTTAAGAGGTTGCTGTATTTTCTGCCACTCTTAACACCAAGATTCGATGTCTCTCTAAAGTATATACGTGAGCAATTAAATCAAGGCAATCCTATAGCATGTGTTACTCTGGTCAGTCCAGATGTCACAGTGGTCCCTCCTGGCTTTCCTGTCTTTGGTAAGACCTTCAAGCCCTGTGAGTGGCAAACTGCAGCAGCAAGTAGAAAATCTGACAGACATTTCAACATGTGTCCTCAAAAAGATACATAAATCCTCACACTACCACGATGCACCACCACAATAGAAGAGAGATCAGATTATCTCAGTAAATTCACTTTTTCCAGGTAAAAATTCTGCCTAATAATTCATGTTACACATTTTTTCAGAAAGATCTTGTCAGGATGGGTAAGGAACCATTGGGATCATTCAGATGGAATTATACTATCACCTCTGGAGAAAAAACTATCTTTAATGAATATGATGGAAGGTGATTCCTTAACAATGGCCTGAAATTCAATACACTGAACGGAAACCTCTGCTATTGGAAACAGGTCTTTCCACAGGAAAAGCCCTGTGCTCAAACCTATCAAATTCTTAATGTGCTGCTTTATATGTACAAACAAATATTGCCAGTGGAGCCTGTTGCTAAGGCACTGTGGGATCAGAGAATGGGAAAAACATCTGAACTCACAGATTTCACTCACTGAGATGGAGGAAGCAAAGACACACCATCCAACTGGAATCTGGATCGTTTTTTTCTTGGTGAGGCAGGACCTGTGTGGAAACTAGATGCGCTACCAAAAAGGATCCCTTTCCGTAAGAGAAAAAGCCATGATGGCAGCTGCCTGTAAGAAACACTGCCGTGAAGCACTTCTGATGAACAAATTTTATCCAGTGTCCTTCACGTTAAGAAAAGTAAGTGAGCAGAGAGGCTTGATGAACTTCTTTGAGCACCTCAGGTGTCAGGGTGGGTAGATCTATCTGTCCCCTACGGAGCCAAGTATGATCATGGGGCTGGCAGGGCAGGGTCTTCGACAGCTAGGGCCCATCCCACAGACCCTGAGAGAGGTGAGCAAGACAGGACTGGAGATGACAGCCAGGTTCAACCAAGAGTCCAAATCATCAGGAAGTTCATCGTGATGAGACAGGTCCGTGATCAAGCTGGAAAGTCAATCCACAGGTCAGGGGCAGGATGAGCTCTGGTGAGGATAACCAAGGCCAGACACATACCAGCGATCCTCAGGGAGGTCCAGAGTGATGAGTCAGGGTTGACGTCAAGCTGCGGAATCAGACTACGGGATGGGGTACAGACCAATGGGATCCACAGCCAGGCATGGGCATGTCTACAACTGAGCTGGAGACCAACATCCTACAGTGTGGCTGAGGGAGGGACTGATGATCCAGAGTTGAGCTGAAAAAGGGGGTTTGAATGTGGGTGGAGGCCCCACATGGGGCTGGTCAAGGCCATCAAGACCTATTAGCGCACTCAGGGCCCTGACGTCACTTTAGATTTTCATCATGCAAGCAACAGACATGGATAGTTCTCCAGATTTTAGTGCCCTCACGACGTACTTCCATGACCAGGGAGTCTGTTACCTTATCTGCAGTTACCAGAAGAGGATGCGATGAGTGCACACTCCTGAGCCTGGGCTTACCAAGCTAAAACCCACTCTCAGTGGCTTTTCTAGGCAGTCCACTTCCTAAATGCACTAGGTTTTCTCTGCACTGTAAATACATCATCTAAAAGCAATCACAATAGCCCAACCACCTGCAAATGCGGTTAAATCAGTTCCATCTTACAGAGCAGACAGAGCCTGGAGGAGGGCAGAAAGAAATCTCTGAAGCCTCCCCCTGTGCACCTACGTTCAGAGACATTTCTAAAACTGGGACAATGAATGTGCCTACAATCCACTTTTTTTGGAAGAGTGAATAGGCTGACAGAAACAGTATAAGAGTATGTATTTTAGAAGAGTAATAGCCCAGTTCCAAGCATATGAAAAAGCCCCTACCCCTCACTAACAAAATGAACTTTCAAAGGAGACATTTGGCATTAACAATTCCAGGGAACCCCACAGCAGAGCTCTTTTCCAGACAACAGGTATTCAGCAGCACTGACCAAAAATTGTCCTGCAAGGTCCTATTGACCCTGTAGGGTATGAGTCCTTGTTTTAGCCCAGTTTCAATGTTTTTTTATCCATTATCACAGAAAACCAGAAAGACAGGCTCCGGAAGGGAAGCTTGCATTCAAGCAGAGAGACCCCGAAAGTTGGATTGGTAATGCTGAAGTGTTTTCCTTACCTGCTCCCACTATGGCTATTTTTTTCAGCATCTGCCTTATAACCACAAGAACAAGGCCAGGGTAAAGACACAGTCTTAGCTTTACTTCTTCTGACTGCTAGGGCCTGAGAAAAGTCAGCTGTGCTTTTCAGAAGTCATGTGTTTACAGCTGCCTCAGGACCTTGGTTTATAGGCAGAGCAGAGTCTGAACAGTAGAAAGGTGGGAGGATATACTGGCCAGCCTGCCCTGGGAGCTAATCATGCCCTCTCCTGTATGCTCATCAGGGTTAGTGGTTTGTCACTGTAAATCATAAATCTTACTGGTCATGGGAACTAGGAGAGGAAAAAAGGTTAAAAAAAAAAAAAAAGGAAAAGAAAAGTTTATGGGGAGGGGTTAAACCTTATGAACATATTATCCTGATCTGACCTTAAGTGTCCTCACCGTTAAAGATATTTGCTGAAAGGACTGAAAACCCATCTGCATATCTCAGTGACTGCTGGTCTCATCTGCAGCAGGGGCAGCTTCTTTTGCTTTCACAAAGGTTACTGCAGAAACCATGGTGTGAGAATGGCTTCAACCCCAGCATTCAAAAGAATGCTCCTCCCCCTCCAAAACTGGCTTCTGGTAGTCGAAAAGTGGGCATCAGGACCCTGTAGCTGCACTGAGCACAGGATGAAGGGCAGTATCTGTGTGGACCATTTGCATCTGCAGTAAGACCTGCAGGGCCACTTCAGGCAAATACAATTGTGTTTTTCTTTTATGCTGGATAGCCTGGACTGGAACCAGCAGTCGCAGCCTATTACTACAGATGGTGGAGAGATATCCATAATGATAAATCCCCTTGAAATGGCAAGTACTGGGAAGGTAAGGATCTGTTCTTGCTGAGCAGAGATTCAATGCACAGTCCTTACAGCATACTGCTCCTTAGCTATCTGTACAGGGGTGGACTAGAGGCACTAAAGCCTTGGTGTCTGGGCGCTGATCTATACTAGGAGATAGATCTACTGCTGATCACCACCAACAGCTTTCCTGAGGACCTGAAAACACCTGAATTAAGAGGTGGAGTGTGGGGGTACAGGGATGTCTAGGAGTAACTGTTATGTGTGCAATCATAAGCACTGGGTTAATTCCCTTGGGCAGATGGGAGATAAGAAGACTAACTTTGTGATGATGGTGGTAGAGGTATTTTATGCCCTACACCTTCTACCATGACCTTGGTCCATCTTCATGCTCCAGAGAACCTGCATGGGGGCCACCAAGCCTTGATCCACCTTAGAAGTGATAGCCTGGTGGACTATGTTCCAAATTTATTTCTACATATGTCTAAAACCTTATTATAATAACTTACAAACCTAACTAAAGCTGAATTTGGTGAGGAAGGAGTGTGTGCTCCCCCTGCTGGCTGTGGATGAGCAGCTAAAGAAACCCACTAAGCTAATGAGCTCAGCTCATCCATCCTCATCATCAGCCAAAATGCTGGCAGCAGGACAGACGTGGGCAAGAGCAACCATGCTGGCTCACAGCATTAAAATTGCAATAAAGCACAGGGCAATGCTATGAAAGAAGCATGAAGTTCAGGTGTAAAGAACTTTTCTGCATACTTTTAAAGCATCCAAGACCAGCATGTAGCAAGAATTTCTCTCAACTGTTTTACTAAAATTTTGCACTGAATTACACTTAAATGCTCATTAAAACCTCCCCTTTGTCTGGGGAGTGCAGATCGTAGTGTCCCTCCAGAGTGCAGATCGTAGTGTCGTGTAGTATGCTGAGAACTGCCTTTTCCCGAGCTCCCTGAAATAAATATTTTATTGCCTGTGATTTAGTAGCAAGCTGCCAAGGTAATTCACATGATTTTGAAAACCAGTGTTAACTCACTGTTTGAACTAATTTCTCAGAAGCTCGTAAGACAGATGCGTGTACATTCATTTATTAATTAGGGGAGTCCAAAAATTTTGTGCATCACTTCAGTTAAACAATAAAATAGAATATCAAACCCCCAAGGAACATATGTAGAATTGCATGGACTTTGGTAAAAGTTCAGTGACATGACAGACCTAACAGCAATAGTGTCCCTCTGAGAAGATTCCAGCTCAGTTTTACAGTGCCCTGGTCAGCACATGATCTACGTCCTGCCAGCTGCAATCCCACAGGTCCAGTGAAAGGATCCACAAGAATGATACTCTCTCCTACAACCCTCATGTTTACCACCAGCCACCATAAATCACAGTCTGTAATGAAACAGATCTCCAGCAGAATACTCACTAATAGGTGCATGCAGCGCCACATGTTCTTGGTAGGGAGTGTAGTATTTGTACTGCTTGCCACAGAATTCACAGGTGTAATTGCCAGTTTCTGTGAAGATGAAACAAATACAAAGATCAGAAAGGAGTGCAGCACCCTCTCACACAATCACCAACTTCCTGACTTTTTCATAGAAACTGGCCAGGTGACTAGAGCATACTCCTCATCCACTTGGAACTTATCTGCCCTGTAATTCACACATTCTCCCCAACAAAGGAAACAGTTAAAGCCAGTGTCCAGAGTGATGGACCATGCACAAAAAGTTCAGTAGAACTGAACAAGCTACAGGAGTTTATCCCAAAATTACAGCAAGTAAGTGTGCAAAACAAAGGAGAGAATCCATTTCTAAAGTCTATATTACAGATGACACAGTTTTGTCTTCTGGTTACAGATAATCTGTGATGTGTGGACAACAACAACAGTCAAACTAGGAAACAAGTTGTCAAGTTTAAGTCTTAATTACAGAACTTTTATGCTGGAATTGTAGATTCCTCTTGTAGGAGGAGGGGCTGTTCAGCAATAACTGTGCTAATTCCTGCTTTGTGGGTACTTGAAATAATGAAGTAGTGTAATGATACACTGACACTTCCTGGTCCTGCCAGTGCTGGTAAGCACAGAACTGATAGCAAGCTGAAAGGCAAGGGAAAATGCAGGGTTGATCAATTGTTTCCAAAATGGAGAATTGAGAGAAATGCTTCGGCAAAGTCTGGTCCTCTCTTTGTTTCACTCTGATCTGTTTGATGAACACATCACAAAGGCAGTGTGAATGCAATCACCTGCCAACTCTGCCAATACACCTTAAGACCCTCTCTAATCGCTGCCAGATCGCTTTTCTCCTGAACCTTTCGTCTTCTCTTTGCAGAGCTCTTGAGCAGAAAACATCACAAAGCTGCATTTTTTAGGGACAGGGCTGCTGGTGTTTGGTATTCATTTGAACCTAAACATATCTTTCAGCACCCCTAAGGTTCCAACACCTCTGCATAACACAGTGTTTTCTGGTTTTCCTAGAGGTACTCCAGTTAACGCCAGATTTGAAACCCTTGTACTGTCTCTTTAACATTCGAAGCTGTATAATAACTCATACTTGGACCAATCTTCTGAAATGGCTCTGGCTCCTCCTCCTTCACTTCATCTGCTGCTATGACGGCCTGGTCATAGGGGTCTGCAAGAGAACAGAACCAGCAAGAGAGCTGACAACACCCTCAGGTTTTCCTTCTACAGCTGCATAGGCAGTGAATGCTCCTGCATCTGTAATGACATTTTCATCTGTAACAATATTTCGAGACAGGAATTATAAGCCAAATGACTCCTCTCTCTGACTTTTCCTCCTCCTCAGGTGCCCCAGGCAGATATTACCCCCGCCCCTTCCAGCCCAGTAACATGCCTTGTAGGTATATAATGTTTAAAAAATACAGAGAAAGACTGAACAAACACATTGCAAAGCCTGATCCATATTTTCTGATTTTCTTCCAGTGCATCTCCTATATAATGACGTTATACTGTCTCAACATGGGCACAGTAATGCAGCCTGCAAGCAAGTCAGCTAACAAATACTGACCAGTGACGTTCTACCATCTAAAAGCACAGCTAGCAACAAATCAGAACCCAACCCATTTTATAAAATAATTTAATTTATGCCTTGAACAATTCAATAAATCACCAGAGACATGAAACACCTGCTTCTTTGATTTTCAAAAGCCTGATCAATTGTATGTACAACAAAAGCCTGGTATCTGCTAGGGCTGGGCATAAACCTACTGGCTGTACACGTTGGGGGAGGGAGAGAGGATGCTCCTCTCCTGCTGCAATCAGTGACAAAACTCCCTTGACTCTTACAAGTGTAGAATCGGACCTGCTGTGCCTGAATTACTGAATGTTTGAAAAGGTTTGTGAAATAAAGCACACAAAGGATCTCAGCTTACCTGCCCGGTTTTCTGGGGCCCCTTCCACACTAAAAACTAACATAGAATAGAAGAAGGAGGGGAAGAAACAAAACAGAAATTAAATCCTCTTAAATGGCCTTGTTTTCCTCCTGTATTTCACGTACCGCTTCAGCATATTTCAGCCCCACAGAATAAACCAGGCTTTGTGTCCCAGTCCCTCCTCTTCCCAGCAGCATCCACACAGGAACTATTTGAGCATGCCCAGCCCTAATATACACAGATTCTCAAGGCCTTTGTTCTGGCACTGACACAGCCCCATGTGAAGTTCAGATGCACAGCTGCCTCACGCTTGTGTTTGCCAAGACACAACCAGCCCCCTGGAGGAACTGAGACAAACAGTGTACTTGCAAGACGCAAGTGGAAGCCGTTTCCAAAGCCATCTCGTAACCCTAGGCAGAGCTCCCTGAACCATAGCTATGAAGACGCATTTCTGACAGAAGCAGACATGTCACCTCACAGTGACTTTCAGTCCCAGTAATTTAATTTTGGCTCCCCATGGGAGGAAGTGAGCTTGCTGTGGTGCGCTGCAAGAGAACGCTGGTTGTTCTTAGAGCACATTCAGATGTCCACATGTTCCACTTAAAAACAGCAGGTTTTTTGGACACTGTGTATTGTGAAAATCCACTTGCTTTTCTGAGATAGTCCAGCCATTCAAAACTTTCTGCTTTCCAAGTGGCCTCTTTCTAAAACTCTGCAAGGGCTCCCTCCTTGGCCAAGTGAGGAGCAATACCAACAGGCTTGCAGCATATGCAGTGAGGGTTTGGACTATCTGTGGGCTCTGAGTTGAGGAGCTTGAGAAGCCCAGAAAACAAAGGACAAGCCAAAGACAGTATGTTGTTGCTTCTATTTTCCTCAATGTAGAAAAACAAAACACTGCTTCTGGAAGAGGGTGTCTGCTTCTGTCCGAGTGTCACCAGCCTAGGCCACATCTACATTCACAGAGGAAAAATTGGCCTGTAAGGTCCACTGACAACTGCATCAGTTCACTACCACAGTGATTTACAAGAACGAAACAACATTTCTCAACTCTGAAATGTGGTTTCTCACAGAGGAACATGTTGGGAACAATCCTGTGAAGTCAGAAACCAAAAGGCAACCAACTCTTGCCCAGCGCATAGCCAGACCTCACAATTTACCTTGAGGGACTCAGTTATCGCATATCCATCCTAACCATGAACCTTAATACAGACAGGAGGGCTGCAAGGACCACAAGTTCCAGCACAGGCTGTTATTTTGATGTACACAAAGAGAATCAAGCACAGCAAACTTCCTCCTGCAGTGCCTGTGGACTGTGCCTCCACTGACAAAGGCAAGCAAGCCATGCTGTGCAATGTCCTGTACATCATGGGCTGCATGGTCCTGCAGAACCACATTTTGCCTTCCCCAATGACTTCTCATTCTAGTTTGGGTGTCTGAGTGTCAAAACAGTACTCACCATCCACGGCATGCAGGTCTCTGTGCTCTTGGAAGCAGCTATAGTATTTATATTTTTTCCCACATATGTCACATGTGTACCTAAAATTGTCTGTAGGAAAAAGAAAACAGGCCACTTTAGAAACTCTGAGGTAAAAGGCAAGCACTCCAGACAACACTGCTCAGTGCATGTAATGCAGTTACATTCATCGCACATGCTCCATCAGATCTCTAAGGCACACAGACAACCACTGCTTCACAATGACCCTCACGTGCCCCATGCTATATGGCTTGGGGCTTATTCTGATTTCTTATTTCCTATTCAGGCAGCTCTGCTCTCCAGTATAGCCTCCGTAAGACCTCACAGCAATGAAGACACAGAGCAGCAGGCACTGCTGAAATCTCCTTTAGAAGTTCAGGGCTACAGTAGGCAAGTACTGGTCAGGATGGGGACAAACTGGAAGAACTAAACACAGAGTCAATGTATGAGCTGTTAGAAGTCAAAGTCTTAATATGCCAACTACAACACGGACTGGATGTGCCTACACACTCATACCATACTTGGTTCTCCCTGCTGCTGCTTACTGATTACTAACTGTATCCAAGATCCAAGGGCACATTGTAATAAACAAAACAAAAGAGAACCAACAATCCAAACACGCAGGACAGTAAGGTGCTCAATGAACAGGAGGACTGATGGAGCTTGGTTATGATTCATATATGTTTGTACCCTAAACCCCCTCCCCTCATCTCAGCAACAAAAGACCCCCTTCACCACAGCTGTGTGGGGAAGACAGACAGATGCAAAAAGCTCAAGATGCTTATGAATTCCTTTTGGTCTCACTGAGGACAATGAATGTCTTTGGCTCAGCTATCACATCAGTGTAAGAGGAAAATTTCACTTGTCAACTTGGGGGGGTTCTTCCATCTTCTGATGTCTGACATACACTTTGGGGTACAGACTGACACCCGTAAGTAGTCGCCACACTGCATCTTGCAGCATTGTACTTGTCAGCCGACCACAGTAGCCGATGAGTCACATGCTACCAGCCAATTGCAAACAAAAGTAAAACACATCAGCCTGCGTAGCCACAAAGGATCCTGAAACTAACATGGTTTACTTCACAACAGGAGCAAGCTAGGAGTGTACACATCAGCTACCGTGGCTCCACAGATGAGCTGCCATTCAGTAAGCTCCCCTGCAGTAGCTCAGTTGTTTCTATTCATGTATCCGTATGATTAGCAAAGTTAAAGCCTGTTTTTACCTCTTCCATACCATGTCCAAACACACCAGAGTATGCACATTAAGTAAGCTTTTATTTTACTTCTCAACAATTTTATTTTTAAAAGAAGTAAATGTTTTAAGCTAGCATGCATTGGTACAGTCTAATCGCTCACTTGGGATCACTACTGCAGTCCAGCAGCACATGGGGTTTCAACGCTAAATGAAGAAACACTTTCCGCCCTTTATTCTGCTTGGCAGAATGAAAGTAGAAGCTATGGTGATCTATAAGAGAAAAGTGCCAAATATAAAAGGTGTTAAACTGGGCACTGGAACTTTACTTCTGCTGCCAAAAAGTATTTGTATCTTAATCAGAGCACAGCAATGCTAAGCTAGATCTAAGGGGTTTTAAAAAGTCTAGGCTGAACAAGCGAGACAGAGCCCAGGCATATATACTGAGATGAAAAGGATTCACTGCTTCAGACAGTGCATTGCTTAAGGAAGAGCAGGAGGAGAAGCAAAACATGACTGCGAGAACATCCAAGTGATAAAAGCACTGGTGGTTCACATTTAACTGTGTTTATAATAATATAAACTTATGCAGTCTCTTTCTGCGGTCATACAACAGTGCTGAGGGTCTCAGTCTACCCTAGACCCTTTTTGACAACGAAGATAATCTAATGATTGCTAGTGAATATCTGTGTATCTGTTGCAAAAAAATACAGTCAATTATCAGCAGAGAAATTTCATAACGTGTCATCAGTAATCAGTCCCACATTGCTGGGCATCCCAAAGACAAGAACCAACCTCCTTTTTGAAGGATCCGTACAGTAGATGAACTGAAGACTAATCCTTCAAAGGAGTACCAAATACTAAGCACTTTCAGTACCTCCGTTTGGAGGAAGAAAACTATTATGGCCTTAGTTTGGAAGAAAAGTGCTCAATAAATAAGGAGACTTGTTAGAAAAGAATAAAACTAAATGCTAGGCACACCATCTCACGGACTCAAACAAGCATGGCTAGTTGTAGTTTCTGTAACTTAGGAAAGATTGTGAGGATCTCACTGCCAACAGCGGAGACTTCAGTAGCACATGCTGGGTATGACCACTTCCTTTCCTAGGCAGTGTGAGGAAAATGAAAACATGATAAAAGGAGACCCCAAGAGAATAGGGTTTTGCCTGTTTTGTTAGGGGACTGTTTTCCCTAAAGAAGAATGACCTCCAGAAATTATAGTAACAAGTCATTATGAGAAGTAAGAATTTGTTCCAGCTGGTCTTGGTACTAATCTCTTCCTCAACTCTTTGAAGGAGATAACGCCCAGCAAACAGTGCCAAGTCTCAGAGATTAGGAGGTTACAGAGAATTCAGAAAGTATCAGGAGACTGCCGATGTGTAGCCTAAGCTTTACCATCTCTGAACAATGGTCACTCTTCCAGGGCTGCATCCACGTGCCAGATGTCTTCCTTCTTACCGAATAAACTGTCTTTGTTGACAGTCGTAATACTTCCAGTGCTGTTCCCAGCAGCAACGTCTGTCTTAGCAAGAAACTCACTGAGCAGGATTAGCCTGTATGCTACTACTTTTCTTGCTCTAGGATATAACTATTACACCAAGGTAGATTCCAGCTGGGGCACCATACCCAATATATGTAACAGCATAGCTTTCAGTGGGAAGAGCTACAAGATACTCCAAAGTGCTCAGGTGTGCCTGCAAACCCATACTGAAACCCCCACCCCTAAACCTCTGAGGAGCTGGTACCAGACAGCCAAACTAATGCTACTTAAGCAAGTCTGTTCAGATTCAAGCTCTCTCCTACCACCGGGTAGACATTAACACAGTGCAGCTCCACCAAAAGCAAAGCATACCAACAGGCACTATTAGGACTTAAGGAAAAATACAGGGAAAGATACTAATTAGCCCACCAGCACAGAGGTTCAGTGCTGTCCCTTATTGGTATTCAGACAATGGTCCTGCAGAACCCTTGATGCAAGCTGAACAATCACTGTATTACACTGTTGCAAACCTACAGTTTCAAAATGCTTAAAAGACATCTAGTTAGAAACCAAACTCCAGCAAATATCATTCTTCCTTCATGCTCATGAGTATTTCCAAGGGGAGCAGAGATTCCAGAAAGAGGTCTAAGTAGTTAATGGCCTTATATCTTTAGTCAGCCCACATTTAATCTCATGAAATACACATATCAAAATACAGCATCACATCTTACTAGAAAAAAACCCAAGCAACAGCCCTGTTACAAGGCAGTTCCTCAGATACAAAGGACTGATGTACTGAGATGGCAAACAGGCAGGTTTTTCAAGTACCCCAAGAAATAACTCCATGGGACCTGGAAGCATTTTTGACCACTCTGCTTGCAAGTGCACCTCCAGTAAAAGACAGGGAACGTGCTGCTCTTTTCAGCCTGTCTCCAGGAGCTGCTGCAGGCTGGCTCCTGTCATGCAGTCTGTGTTCAGCAATGACTTGCAGCTACTGAAATACCCTGCCCTAAGGATGATCAGCCAGGTCATCTTTCTTCCCAGATGCTGCATTAAATATTTTGAGGGCTTTTTTTGTTGTTTTGCTTCAAATATTCAGCAGAGAAGAAAGCACATATTTCATTTTTGAGGTCAAGAGAACACATGCCCTACAGTGGCAGGCAGAAGAGGCTGCTTTTCCTTAGGGCACTTGGCCCAGGGCCTCAGTGGATTTTGCTCTAGAAACCCAGGAAGAGAACAACAGCAATCAGAAGTTTGTTGAAAGGTCAGGATTTCTGTGTCACAAGCTAAAAATACAGATCACTTATCCCGCCCTTCTAAGTGCAGGAATCTGAGACCACAAAAACTGTGTACAAACTAGTTTCCATTGGGCTCAAAGACCTCTGTGCAGCATCACAGAAACCCGAGTTGGAAACAGTTACATACATCATACAGATGACATCCCTGCAATGACGACAGCACATCCCGTTAAGAGTCTAGAATGATGGGGGTCTCCACACAGCAGGCTGCAGGAGCTTAAGGACTTCTCCAAGGTGAAGAACAATTTTCACCTGACCCAGAATTCATACTGACCTTTCAAATGGAAGAAGCCACAAAAGCTACTTGATAGACGAGCTCTCATGGCAACTAGACACTTTGCAGATACTCTTGAATCCTAAGTGATCCTGCTCTTATAGAGCACTGCAGAAATAGCTGCCTAGCAGGGACAGCCTCTAAATGTGGAAGGGCAAAACCACCGAATGTAAATAGATTGCAACAGCCTGCTGAGTTATTCCTGAAATCCAGCAGTGTTCCAGCTCCCAGTCAACAAAAAAGCAGCAAAATTAAAAAGAAAACGAGGAAGTCTGGACAGTAGCTACAGCATTACTTGTCCTGCTCCATGGTCAGGAGGGCACCTTGACACCAAAATGTCTGAGAACAGTAAAGGAAGGACCAAACTCCAGGAATTCCATGTTCCTGGCTCACCTCAGAAAACAAAGTTTCTGAAACAGTTAATTAAGTCCAGCAGCATCTCTGAAAGGGGAGGAGGACTGGATTTCTTAAAGCCAAGCCCGCTACAATACATTTATCTGTCATCTCTCTCTTTGAGGTCATGATGTTTCTCCCTGCAAACAGGCTTTTTGGGTGAGGCTTATGTGACAACAAAGTATCAGCATTGTCCCTCCAGCTACCGCCAGTGGGTCAGGTCACAGGATGGTCCATGAGATGCTCTGATGCTCAGTTTCACATTCCTTAACTTTTTCCTAAAAATCTGCTGCCAGATGCTGGAGTCCTTATGAGTCCTGCTGGTGATAAACACAGAGGGCTGGAGCTCGTGAGTGGCTCTGTAGCAGTACCTGAAAAAAGTGTCATCTTTCCTGGGATGTCTGCCTCACTGAAATGAACCATGAGCAACTCC